TGATTTTGATCCGGTATTTTTCTTAGAATGACATGTGCAACAGACGTGATGTGGAATTTGTAACATTTCATTATTTCTGTAGCATCATTGCAGTGATCCAGTACAAAACTTCAATTTTCAAAATATAAAATGAGCTCATAGTGACGTTGGACATTATATCTTTAACTTCTTGTAAAGGTTTACACAGAAAAGTCTGTAACTAGCTGGTCATCTAAATTACAAGTCAAAAGTCACTTTCTGTTTTGAACTTGGGAACGAAAAACAACTTACAAAGAGCACGATTAGAATCGCATCCAAATTTACATACTGAAGTCATTTTTTAGCGTGCCGAAACCAACGAATTTACTGAAATACACTAGTTGCATGTTTCTGAGGGAACATTAGAGGATGTGTCGCAGGACTCCACACTGGGCATAGATGTCCCATTATGCAATGCAGCAATGACGCTGCTGGACTGAGACCTGATATCAAAAACGCTTCAATTTAAGTGTTTAAATTTAAAAAGTTTTCAGTTTGCCAGGGATAAATTTATTTGTGCTCGGCTTAACTCAGATGAGGTTGGGTTACCATGGCAACGTGGCTCTCAGGAAGTGACATCCTACAAGCCGAGTAGTGTGTCGGAACATATACTACTGAAATGTGAAAGATTCCCAGTTAAACATGACAAAAGGAATGACGCACAAATAATCGGCGTAGCACTATTTAGCTTTTAGCAGCAGCATGTAATGTATTTTTAAGCATTGGTCGACAACTTCTATGTATATTTAAATGCTTTTGCATATAAATACCATGTTAATAGCAAACTACACTCTGCCTCTGCTTTTAAATACATTCTAATTATAACTAAACCATGACCCATATCACTTTTTAACAATCCAACAAGCAATTCATGAAACGTAGTCGGCGATGTATTTGCACAAAAGCAAAACAGGCTTTATGGTGCTGGTTTTGATATTAGCAAGAACATGTCTCTGTTTTAAAGTAAGAATTCCTTCATATTCTGTGTTTTTGTCAACAAAACGTATGAAAAAAAATATATAAACTATCCCAGTAAATGTGTAATTTTTATGATCTCAGACAAAGACACTGTGTATTTTGTATTTTCCCACATGCACTCTTAGATGGAAAAAAACAAACAGCCGCAACATCCACTGCATAAACTAGTCCCCACACATGAACCTTCTAATTGTTTGGTAAAAAACTACAATGCCCATGTGTTTTTGAGGAAATCAGATACATTTAATGAGCCTCGTTAAATGTATCCGATTATGAACCAACTAAAGCGGAGCTGAGGGCCACCAAGATGCACAACATTATTGGTTTTGTTGACAATCAAGAAAAAATGTAAATCAAAATCTCTCCAGCTTTATCCTTTAAAGCCCTGCCATGTAACCTCAACAAAACATTCACACTCATGCAACATCACGATAGCCTAAAACACGTGAACCCTTCTACATATTTGGTTCCTCATCAATCTTTTAAACCTAGAAAATGGATTTTCTCCTTTTGTTCGTGTAAACAAAAACGCTGAGGCGCAGGCACCTCGACTTTAATGCGACAACTAATTTCACAATGATCAATTTGTAATACCTAAATCTAGTAGAGCCATTGTACATATACAAAAAAAAAAGCGGTTTTAGAAGTGTGAGAGCGATATTTGGAGCCGGGGAACAACATCCATCGCGACAAAATCCTGGACTTCAGGACCACTATATAAACGTGTATGGCTTCCAAACACTCTGAGACAATGAGACAGGAATGATTCAAATACTTCTGTTCACAGCGTAAAACTTTGGATAAACTATTCAAAGAAACGTGTATAATACACTGATGCAGTGTCCTGCAGGAACAGACATACATCTGCGTGTTACTGCGTACAAAAAACGTGAGCATAAGGTGTGTCTGGGTCGGTTTGGTCTGAGAGAGCATAAGGTTCGCCGTGAGAAAGCATCTGTTGCAACAACAGCCAGGCAGACTGGCTACGTTTAATGAACACTGTTTAATCTAATTTCCCCC